GTAGCTTTTTTTCTGTTAATAAAAATAAATTTAATCTGTTCGGTTAACGAATCTCCATAAAATGACGTGTAAAATTACAATTTTTTAAAATTTCAATAACTTTTTAACGGTTTAGTGAATCGATTTGTAATTTTTACAGGAGTTTTAGATTTGAATGAGGAACGTTCTTCCAATTTTTTATTTGTCTCGTAGCATTTTGACATACCTCCCAAACATCCTTAAACACACGTACCATATGTTATAATTTTAACAATGTCCAGTAACTTGACCCTGCCATTACTAAAAAAATTAAGAAAAGAGGTGCAGAATTGTATTGTGCTCAAAGGTGCTGCTTCACAAAATTCATTTTTAATAACAAATTGGAGCACTAATACATAAATTTATTTTAAAAATGGAGGGGCTAATCTCTTTTTGGTTTGGTTTGGAAAAGTTATACCCATTAGTACAGAAATTTTTTTGTTGGTACCTAATAAATTTTGCGAAGCAGCATATTAGAGTACAACACTAACACATTCAGCATTTTTTTCTTAAATGGTGGGGTCAAGTCGCTGGACATTGTTTATAATATGTAGGTAGGTACTTAATCTCATTCTTAATTGGTTAATTAATCTAATCGAAAGAATATATTATCTCGGAAACCAAAAAAAATTAGAATTTAAAAATTATATTTTAAAGTAGATAATTTTATTGAACGCAATCAATATAAAAAATAACGTTTTCTGTAATAGGTACATAGCTACAAGGTAGGTACCTACATAAATTTGTTAATCGTTAATACCTATAGTATCTATGCATTAAGCGGAGTATTGAAACGTATAAAAGCCGATTTTAATTAATTAACTAGTAATGTACATCATAGTGAACAGGTAGGTATCTATTGTGTGCACATAAAATTATTGTTATATATATTCCAAGATGGTAAAAAAAATAGAGTAGGTAGGTACTACCTATTTAAGACAAATAAACCACGATCCATTTTAGAATAAAAATGATAATCTCTTATCAAACACATTATCACATTATTAACGTGCATACATGTACATCGCTTGCTTTTTGTTTTATGTAGACAGACTAACGTTTTCCCACAACGTGACTATAGGTTGAGGAGAACTACTATTAAGTATTAATAAAAAATATTAACCTTAAAACACGAAAATCACGAAACTGCCTTGGGAACATATCGTATTTGAATAACTAATTAATCCTTTGCACGAATAATTTGTTTATTCTTAAACAACCAGGCTCTAAATGCCGGTTCTTTAAAAGATTGAATAAAACATAGTTAGTGAAGTACTAACTAAAATGTCTCAATAAAATTATTATTAACTATAAATAATGGACTTACCGTATAGCTTTGCTTTGAAGAAAACTAACAAAAAAGCACTTTTAAGTAGTCCTCCAAAATACTATCAATGGCGTACACAATAGAGATGACAAACGTTTGCGTATTTGCACTACAGCGCAAGCTTCGTAGACGAGCGCATGACGCATTCAATGGTCGTGGTAAGTTGGCGCCACCTACTAAGTAGTAGTTAACACCATTTTTGAAAACCTTTAAAGATATTTACTAGAAACCTAAATTGAATTTTTAAAAATGAGCGCTAATGATAATCAAAATAACTTAAATTTTGACTCCTTGTTAACTAAAGAAACGCTGCTTAAGGATGAGATCATGAAAAGTAAGTAAACAAAATGTTCTTTAACAGGACTGTGTAACTGAATAGTTTGTTCGTTAGCTGCAGGAGCTTTAGATAATGCGCAACAAACATTAAAGAGTTTAAAAGTTAATATAGAGTTGCATTCTAATAGTTTAAAAACCACAATTAATAAAAAGGGTGATTTATTGCATTTTTTTTGTGTACTAAAAACTACTATAATTTTGCCATTTCATAAAATTAATAGAAGCTGTCGGTGCGCAGTTCATGACATCAAGAGAATTCTTTTTCATGCTAGCAAACATTTATTAAGGTTGGTAAATATTTCCAAATATAGAAATGGAGAAGACACTTTACCTACATTTATTAGGGTTTTTTTCAGGTATACCTGTGTTCACCAGGGCAATGTTGCAGATGTTATTCATTGTCACTAACAATAGCCTAAGGTCAAATAACCCACTAACTATTGGTCCCACTCCATGCAACCCCTCATGTAGTTTAAGAGTATCTACCAGTAATTATAAGATATCACCTAATGAACCTAAATATTTGGTGAATCTTGTAAGGTTGCTTTTTATTGAGCCACGCTTTTTGACTAATTTCCTAATGCGATTATCACTCTCTGCATTTGCAATATTACAAATAAATCGAACAGAAGCAAGGAAACAACATTAAAATGAGTAGGATTGGTGATTACGTAAACAAGACATGCGAGACCTACAGAGTGTTGCGATTTCCTGCAATCAATTGATTCAAACGATATTGATGAACTTTGATCTGCTCGTCCGCGATGTATAAGATGAATTACNAAAAGTTAAACTGTTAAATACAATTTTTATTTTGGAAGTCCATTTGGCCATTTTTGGCTTTTTTACTTTTTAGTTTGTATTTTATCATTATTACTCATATATTTATTTCATACAGAAAATGAAGGTATAATCTGAAATCTATTTCTCAGTTGTGTAAGCGTATCCATAATTTAAAAGAAAAAAGTTGGTGCTTCGCCTTAAGCAACATAAAACATATCAATATATCAAAAGAACACCAAAAATTGTCAAAAACGCCAAGTCTGATCACCAACATAATTCTGTTTCACTATTGAATTGTTATGAATTATTAGAATAAGTATTAGGAGAAGTAAAAAACTCTCTATAGAAACTTCATAATCTCTGTTACTAAAATAATTTGGTATTCTTTTCAACTTTTGATTTGATGTAAAATATCAGATATTAAATAGCAAACAGCTTAACAAAAATCGATTAATCATAACATGTCTGTCTTTTTAATTTGTTTTTATGTATTTTAGTTGCCCAAGAAAACTGTAATTGTAAAAATTATGAGGATTATTTGATAAACAAGTATAATGAGTTAATTTTAAAAAGAAAGAAGTATGAAAAGCAATTGTATGATCTAGAACAAGAAATTCGAAAAAAGGAAGAACAATTAAAAAAGGTTTTCAACAACTTTTGCGGATGGGTATTAGACAACAAGTAAACATTGTATAAAAAATATTATATTTGTTTTCAATTATATAGAGTTCAATAAATTTAAATTAGCTTCTTGCATTTCAGCTATTAGTGTGTCTTTGCATTTTTGGATTTGTTTAACTTGCTTCTCAATAATTTTACGTCTTTGCATAACTTCTTCTTGTAATTCTATTCTCTCTTTTTTTAATTCAGAAACTTTGCTGATTAATTCGGTTTTTTTTTCTTCTAAATATTTTCCTCTTATGGTTGTAAGAGGAATTTGCCCTGTAGTTGGCCTCCTGAAACACATGGTATGTTTTTAAGACCACAAGAATAAAAGTACATTGATAATATTTTATTAAATACCATGTAGGTTGTGAATCACCACTGAGGGCTAATTTATTAAGAACTGCAAATTTTTCTTGTAAATTTTCTGTCAGTATCAATTTTTCCAGTTTATCGTGGATATTTTCAACAAATGCTTTTTTTATAGCTCGTTTTGTATCAGAGGAAATAGCGTTGTCAGTTTCATTCCTAAACAGTACGTGTTATAAAACTGTTGTAATATACTGAAGCATAACAACAACAATTATATATCAAATTGTTTTTATTTCATAATAAAACTAACAAAATCTTTTCTTACTTGCATGAAGTTATTTTATCTCCAACATTTTTTGCTATATCCATTAGCATTTCTTGGAAGATTTTAGCGTCCTTTGCATATACAACATTATTATCAGTTGTATCAGTCATTATTTTCTGTTTTCAAAAAGTAAACTTAACTGTAACTTAACCTTAATCAATCAAAAGTCCGTTACTTTTCATATTTACTCTTTTCAAATTATTACAGATTACATTAAACCGTGAAGAGTACCATCTGCTACAACTGTAACGACTTTGTATTTTACAGTAACTAACGAACACTAGATGGCAGCATTAGCATGATTTTAATTTCAAATGAAATGCTGTCGTAGTAATAGCACTAAGTAATTTTAGATAAATTAGTAGCATGAACTTAGTAGTACTAGCAATCTAAACAAGAATTTAAGGTAACCGAATAGTTACTATGTTATAGTACTCACCTTACCGTATGGAGAAAATTCAGGAAGATCTTAAGAAAACTATAATGGTAGAGATGACTTCTACAAGTTCCATTTCCAAAATATTAGGCTTAATAAGTTTTTTATAAGATAACACACTTACCCCCTATCATTTTAAAGCAGAACCAATTACACATAAGAAAATTTAGTCTATTTATTAATGCAATATTATGTTATTTATTATTTTTTTATTAATTCTCTCTTTGAATAAATTTCCTTTACTTTTTAATTCTGGAACTTCATTAAAGCAATTTTTATACATATTATCAAAAATGTATGTCATATACCAATCAAATTATGCAATATAAGTATATTCGAGAACCAAAAATATGAAAAATAATTGGCTACAAAAAAAATGAACTTTGCGAAACTCCTCTTCTATTTAATGATCGTCCTTGCAGACATATTTCGATTGCATTTACCTTGATTAATTCTGGGAAAGTTGGAATCTCTTCTAAAACTCAATATGAAATGCTTATTTACTTAGTGAATTTAAAGGACTTCATTATATTTGAATCATAAGTTCAATGTCAGTATTGGTAAAAAGAAGGAAAGGATTAGGCTTTGTAATTACGTACTTTACGCTTTAGTAGTATTGTTTGTTGTCATTGCGATAATTCTGGGGCGACAATCTAATAGATCCGAATTAAACAAAACAAAGGAAAGAATAAATTAAACTCAGGTAAGAAGCGTAATATAAATGCACCACATGGTGACTTATGTTAAGTTGCTTACAATTATTATTCATGCAACGATCCTTAAAATAATAAATTCTTTTGGTTATTTTAGGAATTCTAATATTTTTATTGAATCAAGTTCAAGGCAATTAAGGATTGAAAGTTTATTTGATATTGCCTTGAACTTTACTTAATATTATCCAAACAAAGGGTTGAAATGGAGAATAGACTAATATTTTTATTTCTTATTTTTGGACTTTATCATCATCATAAGGTCGTCAATCCTAAGATTGGTTGGACACGCATCTTCACTCTTTCCTATCCTGAGATAATCTTCGTATTTCCCCAGAACTAGAACAACCCTCATCCTTAACTATTTGCGAATAGTAATCTAATCTAGGTTTACCTCTACTCCTCTTAACTCCTGTTTCTGCGTCAAATATGTTCCTAATCAACCCTTCATGCCTGAGAAGATGTCCTACTAACCTATCTCGCCTACTTTTTATTGACTTCCATACAATCCTCCGTTCTCCTCATCGACGTTTACTAATGGACATGCCTTAGCGGTCAGAATTGTGGTACAACAAAAGAAAGAGATGGAACGATGTTAACATCGACGTTTACTAATGGACATGCCTTAGCGGTCAGAATTGTGGTACAACAAAAGAAAGAGATGGAACGAAGTTTCGGACAATATCCATCTCTCTCATGATAGTGCGTAAGCGTGTCATGAAAGAGATAGCACTAGTCCGAAACCATACGCCATCTCCATCACTTTTCGAACCAAGAAATTATTACGACATAGGCACGTCCATTAATATATGTCTATGCTTTCTAATACGTCTTCATTGGACTTCATTAAAATAAAAATGATAAATATACCTGCCGTCAAAGGCGCCGCCTAGAAGGATCAGGGGGACAACCTCTAGCGACTGAATCGTTCGTCGCAAAAATGCAAAGATTTTCGGTTTGACAAAAAACAAAATTCTGCGAAAGAAATTGTTGTGTATTTAACTGTAAAAGCTGTACATTTCTCATGACAAAGGATGAGCCGAACGAATTCTAGGTTAAATTTAATGGTAGGAACAATAACCGTTTTAAAATACTTACCCAGATGAAGTAGTAGGACATCTGTAATATCTGCACAGTATAAAGATTCTGTGATTCAGATGCAATAAATTGGATATGATTCGAATGGCGTAACTATATCATCTGAATCCCGTGGCAAATTCATTGGATGGGACAATTCCTTAAAATAAAATCAGCTTCATATTGTAGTTTCATTCTTATAAATCACGAAGTAATTACCAAGTATTCTCGAGACCCGAATAAATTTCATAAAAAGTTAGTACTCATTTGCAATAGCTTTTATTGATATATCAAAAGCTTTCGATTGTGTGAATTAAACGATATTCGATATTATTGGCTCCTTTGATAAGCTCGATGGCCGGCGGAGATTGACGCAAGTCATAAATCATACAGTACAATACATATTCCATGACTTAACAAAGAAGTGAACATCAGCTAGGAAATCAGATCATTACAAGGAGGGTCAATACAAATGGTCGACACACGTAGTGCGCGAACAAGGATACTAAACAGTAATCAGTAAGATAATTATAGGTACTAGCGATGTAAATAATCAGACTGCCAGATAAGCTACAAATTTATTTAAATATTAGTTCTTCACTGTAATTATGTTTCAGTGTTAAAGGAAATACTTATACAGAGTGACCGGAAAGTCGACCTACTCTTTGAAAAGGTTATCTATACTATTTGCAATAAGTCAAGTACTGTCAAATAGAGGCAGAGATGGGTAACGCTCTGCTGCTGCATGATCAAGTGCGATTTCAACATGATTTACTGCAAATAATGTAATAAATTTTAAAATAGTGTGAGGGGTTACTTGAACCACTACATGTTTTTTCGCAATTCTCGAGTGTATAGTTCCGATATGTGCATGAGTACTGGAAACAATTGGAAATTTTACTGTGACGTGATACAATCGGGCTAAAAATCAATGGGAAATGACTATGTATTTATAAAGATTGATCACTAAAAACAACCATATCGTTGAAAAAAAAATTTTTACATCATGTTTTCGTGAAAGTTGATAAATTCTTGAATCCCTTGAACCTAACATTTACTACATAACTTATATATCGATAATTTATTTGTATAATTCGTCGATTGGTTGGAATTGGTTCAATACAAAATTAATATTTTTAACCAAGTTTTGTAATAAACGTAAGGTTCAAGGGGTTCAATAATTTATCAACTTTCACGAAAACATGATGTAGAAACTATTTTTTTTTCAAGGATATGGTTGTTTTTAGTGATCAATCTTTATAAAAAGTCATTTCCCACTGATTTTCGATATCATGTCTTAATCCAATTGTGTCACGTCACAGTAAAATTTCCAATTGTTTCCAGTGCTCATGTACTCTAAAATTGCGAAAAGAGAAGTAGTGGCTCAAGTAACCCCTCTAACTACTTTAAAATTTATTACATTATATACTGTAAATCATGTTGAAATCGCACTTGATCATGCAGCAGCAGAGCGTTATCCATCTTTGCCTCTATTTGACAGAGCTTGACTTATTGCAAATAGTATAGATAACCTTTTCAAAGAGTAGGTCGACTTTCCGGTCACTCTGTATAAGTATTTCCTTTAACACTGAAACATAATTACAGTGAAGAACTAATATTTAAATAAATTTGTAGCTTATCTGGCAGTCTGATTATTTANCATTCAACACGGATTTCTAAATATTACACGTGTTGAAGTAACATACGAACACGCTTATTTATAGCAATTTAACACACTCAGAACAAATTACACGTTCATGTGAGTTACTGTAACACGTGTCTGTATGTCGAATAACACACTTAGCATTTGCAGTGTACCTATAATTATCTTACTGCTTACTGTTTAGTATCTTTGTTCTCGCACTACTTGTATCGACTATTTCTATTCACCCACCTTGTAGTGACCTGATTCCTTAGATGATGTTCACTTCTTTGTTAAGTCATGGAATATTACTATCGATCATTTTATGTCAATTTTACCTACTGTGTGATTTACGACTGGCGTCAATCTCTGCCGGCCCTTGAGATTATCAACGGAGTCAATAATATTGATCGTTTGCAGCATATGTGTTTACCATTTTGATTACATGGTTACTTGATATTCGAACCTTCTTCCTCGTCAAGTAAGATTGTATGCAAATTTTTCAAAATCAGGAGAGTGGAGGGCATCACAATATACTATTAATTTATCAATTCCTTCATTTTATTCGGCTACAACCTCTGGCGTTGCTGTTACTTTATAAGATTTTCTTTGAAGCATTGAACTTTAGATACAATACATTTTCGTATTTGATACTTGACCCAGTTTAATGAATGCTATAATGCCAATTAAAATTTTTTTTCGTATATAATTATTTTATGACAAGCAATCTACGGTGTCTTCTGTTAAATAATTTATGAAATTTGCCGTGAAGACGTATGGCTCGTTACACGAAATATTTTACATCCCTTAGGTTGGCAATTTCAGAAGAAATGTTAAAGGATAACTGATGGTCTTTATTCTCGGGACGCGACCCTTAATTCCTTTATTGAAGCAATTTTCGCCTATAATTCGTCTTAACAACTAAGATCAGAGATTAGAATTTCACTCCAACGCTGTGCAGCTCATAAATAAGTTCGTAAGCATAATTGCTACAAATTTGAGGTTGTAGGCCTCCCGAGAATAGCTTCAAGCTGATTATTAAATCTGTTCTTATTCATGAAGTTTGCTGCCAAGAATTTATTTCGTAAATACAAATGCAAATGGATAACCAGATACGTACTTACCTCTTATATTATTTTGCAACACTAAAACGACTCGGTAGATGTTGTCATTTATTGATTTACTTCTTTTCATCATCATAAGGTCGTCAGTCCTAAGACTGGTTGGACACGCACCTCCTCTCTTTCGTATCCTGAGCTAATCTTCGAATTTCCCCAAAACTAGAACAACCCACA